AAAAAAGGTCGATCCAATAATTATAGCCACATTAGTGAATATTTTTAGACCCCTAGTGGATATATAATATTTATTACATTCCAATACGATAATATGAGGGAAAAAATTAAATTTAAAATTCAAACATAGCATATTTTAGTTTTGAATTATTGGTTATATTGTTGAACTAGCCTGCTGATGTACAAAAATTAGCTAATCCCCCAAGAATTGCCGCTAAAAGTGAGGGCTCCTGTTATGCCTAATAGGGACTGCTCTGCCTCTCCATAGACTCCACCTTGGACCTATTTTTATAATTCAAATCGTTCATCTTATAAGACATGTTGAGAAAATTAATGCAAAAAAAAAATAAATTTAATAAATATCAGTAACCATAAAATCAGATATTTTTGTTTCAAAATATATGGATAATTTATTCTCAAAATCACATATATCGTTCATATTTTTTTAAGACAAATATGATTTGATCATGTGCTTATCGATATCCGATCAAGCTAATCTTTTACATGGATGATCATCTCGATAGAATAAACAAAATTAATAGTTTGAATCATTGCATTACCTGGAGTAGAGCCCTCTAAGGGGCGCAAGATGGACCCTTATCCAACCTAATTAGACTATATAAGCAGTGCAAACGACTAAATGAAACAAAATAAAAGATTTGAGCGCTTCTAATGCCACTCCATAAATTATTTCATTCAGATATTCACAATTTAATTTACTAAATATCGATACATGGTATATGAGGAACAATATTCAAAGTCTTTAAATTATTTGAGGATCTTAAAGTAGGAGAAGTTGGAGGTGTAATCAACGATTGTATATGTTTTGCAACAAAGCAAACAGAGGATCTCGTGACCAAACTAAACAAAACCATTTTCAGAGTTGCACATGACAACAAGACACAACTCAAGCATATCCACTGCGAAGAAGCTACAATTTGATATTTCCATAATGGCCAACACATATTCTTTATTGACAATCACATCCCTACCATCTTCTGTTCTCAACAAACCACCATCCACAACTTCCATTACTCGGTCCGGAAGTGAAGCATTCACCCATTGCTTCAAACTCTGTGCTTCAGAAAACATTTCATCTTTTGGTTTCTTTCTTGTGAATGTTTCTAGCAACATTATTCCATAGTTGCATATATCACCTTTGGTCGAGACTTTTCCTTCAGAACTATACTCTGACAAGAAGAATGACAACAAAAATAAAATAAAAAAGTTCTTAGAGCGTCTTTGATGTCTAGAATAGTTGTCATTGCTATAAGTAGAGAAAAAGCAGAGTTTAACTGCAGTTGCCTAATAAAAGAAATTACACTTCTCCTATTGAAACACGATTGCCAAATTTTAACATTTTGAATACTATAGCACACCAAATATCAGTTTGGTATGTGATTTTGGCAATTCAACATGAGAGATGGTCTTATAATTTAAATATATATATATACATATTCTTTTAGGCCTTGTTTTAGATTTGAAAGTATTATCATTTTTTTTCCTAGGGAGGTAATTTGAATATAGTCAGAAATTCAAAGGAGCAACACATATTTACACAACTGTTTGGGGGTAAATCTTTTTTTTTGGGTGGATATTTGGTACTAGTATAGAGTTATATTTACACAACTAAGCCCATAATTTTTCCTATTTAGGTAAATTACACTTACTTCTCCCAAGATTTCTGACAAATATATAGGGACCTTTCTTATAGTTTCAATAATTACAGTAACCTCTCTTACTTTACCTGACAATGTCAAGATTCTCTCATTTTTTGACTGCCGTTACACACTTCACAGAACCTACTGATGTCATCAAAGTTAAACACTAAAATGCCCATAATGCCCCTCAAGTGCCCTCAACCCATCTATATATACCAATATCAAATGTTCGCTGGTCGTCCACTCGGACTTTCAAAACAGTGCTCTTTTTTTTTTCTTTTTATTTTTTTTTTCTTTTTTACAATTGCAACCTTTTATTTAAAAACACAATAACAGGTAGGTTATCCATAACTATTAAAATTTATCTTAAAATTTATTCTTATTTATTTATTTTATTGTATTACTCCAATGAAAATTTCAATTTACAATGAGGTGAACACTAGAAGTATAAACAATTAATTAGCCAAACAATAACAAAGAAACATATTTGGTTCTCTTTTAGAATCACAATTCCAATTAAAAAATTTCAAAAATCTTTTCAAAACTCATAACCAAATACACAACTCAAAACTTAATTCAAAAATTATTTTCAAAAAGTATAACCAAACACACAACTCAAAACTCAATTTAAAATTTTTTTCAAAACTTAAAACCAAACTTTTTTCAAAACCTTATTTTAAAAGAAAAAAAAATCAAAATATTTTTTTTGTTTTATATTTTAAAATTATTTTTAGAATCATGATTTGAGTGTGTAGTCGTATTTTGAGTTATGAATTTTGAATTGAGTTTTGAAAAGAGAATTTGTTTGATTATAAGTTTTGAAAAGAGTTTTGAGTTGTATTTTGAGTTTTGAGTTGTATTTTGAAATTTTTTGAATTTATTTTTTTAAATATTTAAAAGATTTCTTAATTTTATTTTTACATTTCAATTATGTGTTTAACTTCTATTTCATATTTTTGTTGTTGACATAGGGTTAGGACTTATGAATGTATATCCGCATATGTCATCCTTTTGTACAACTAAGCCTTATGTAATGGAAGGATACTATACTCTGATTTAAATTGTTATTTACTTATCGTTGTGGATGGTTTATTATATTTATTTTCGGGGAGTTACAGCAGGACCAATGCGAGGGGTAGATACAAGACACTTTGTAAATATAGTCTAACTCTGGGATTGTCAATAAATAAAAGTTTCAATGCATATTTTTAATTAAATTAAATATTTGGCTACCCTTTTGTTTTACTCCGTTGCATTATTAATTTGTTATGACCTCAATTTTTGACTTGACGCAGCATCTAACCTTTGGGTTCCTGGTTTGGGTCATGACAAGAACATTGCTAGGCTTCAAATCACTATGAACGACAAGCTCTGCTTGATCGTGATGGAGATATTCCAAAGCCAATGCAACATCAAACTTAATACTTACTCTCTGAAGAAGATCCAAGCAGTAGTTATGAGAATACAACCACTTCTCAAGGCTTTCATTAGGCATATTGAAGAACCAAAACTCTTAATTTTGGGTTGGAACATGTACTAATGACTTTGACAAGGTTCCTATGGCGAATTGCACACAAAACACTACACTCTGCATCAAAACTTTGGAAACTCAACTTGCAAATTTAGAACTTTTATCGCTATTATTTCTCCACTAGAAAGTACTCCTTTGTATACCGAACTTTAGCTTCCTAAACCAAGCAAGTTGGCTCAACAAAAGTTGTTTGTAGCCCGAGAAAGCTCCTGATATGAAATCATTTTATGCTCAACTACAACAAATAATCCACTTGAATTCAAATTTGTTGGAGTCCTTTCTTGATATATATTCCAGATGAAGAAGAGAGCAACATAGATTAATGCTAATGAAATGGTAGGCACAACTAAGGATCCTGGCAACTAATCTATGTTGGCTCGGGGCAACGGCTCTGGCGTGGTAATAGCGTACACGCGCCCCTATGGCCTTTGATCAACCTGCTCATCTCTCAGGGCATAGGCCTGTTGTACTGACTGAGACGAAACGGCTCCCTGATGAACTCGTGAAGTCTGAGCTGAGTGAGCCTGCTGGTGGCTCTGAGTCTGCCTTGACCCTAATGTGCCAGATGCGCCTTCCAACTGCGAGCAAGCTCTATTCATATGCCCTGACTGACCGCACTGATAGCAGGTAGGCCACTGACCCCTACTCTGAGACTGACTCTGAGATCGGTTAGGTGGTGGTGGTGGTGGCAATATCTGCTATCCTCCTCCTTTCTACGGACATGCAAAGGCCTTGTGACCCAGTTGGCCACACTTGAAGCATGAAAATCCGGCACTAAGTCAATGGTGAACTCGATCTCTCGGTAGGGTGGCAAACTAGTAAGATCCTCGGGAAACACGTCCGGGTATTCACAAACTACCCTTGGCAACTCAACACAAGTCCCTTCACTCTCACTATCCAAGAGAGTAGAAAGAAGACCGCTAAGCTCATGCCTATTACGAGGGTCAAATACTGGCGATAAGACCTGATCAACCTTGTCCCCCAGAAAGTAAAAACAATCACCACCTGATGTGCACACTATGACCCTCTGACAAAAACAATCAATCATTGCTTGATACGAAGATAACCAATCCATGTCTAAGATAACATCAAAACTCGACATGTCTAGCAACACAAAAGCAAACGACAGTCGATGCTCGGCAACCTCTATCTCACAACCACGACACCCCCGATCTAAATCAACTGTACCCCCAACTGGTGACTCTACTCTGAGCGGGGACGCTAACTGTGCGACCTCTAATCCTAATGCAGATGCGAATGCAGCAGATATGAATGAATGGGACGCACCAGTGTCTATCAACACATTAGCTAAAGAATTACACACAACAAAAATACCTCTCACAACTGAGGATCTCGGCAACTGCTCTGGCACGGAAACAGCATACACGCGCCCCTGTGGCCTCTGATCAACCTGCTCATATCTCGGAGGATAGGCTTGCTGTACTGACTGAGCCAAAACGGCTCCCTGATTAACCTATGAAGCTTGAACTAAGTGAGCCTGCTAGTGGCTCTAAGTCTGCCTCGACCCTGATGCGCCAGATACACCTCCTAACTGCGGGCAAGCTCTCTTCATATGCCCTGACTGATCGTACTGGTAGCAAGTCGGCCCCTGCCCTCTACTCTGAGACTGACTCTAAGATCAGTTAGGTGGTGGTGGTGGCAACATCTACTGTTCTCCCCCTTCTGTGGACATGCAAAGGCCTTGTGACCCGGTTGGCCACATTTGAAGCAAGAAAACCCATTCGGTGCACTCTTCCCCGGGCTCGCACTAGGCAATGGAAAAGTAGATCTAGACTGCTGCAGTTAGGACTAGGATGAAAAGGTGTTTCTGCTCTTCGTGTTGGGCCTATAGTCTCCCTGTGACCCTTGTCCCCTAGACCTCGAATTCCGAAGTCTCTCCTCTTCGGCCTCCATGGTAATCTCCACATGTACGGCCACCTCAACAAGGCGGTCATAATTCCAGATCATGTTCCTAGCAACCTTGAACAAGATCTTAGTTCTCAACTTCTTCTCGAACTCAATGCAACGACGCTTTTCCGTCACTACCAACTCCGGTGCAAACTGGGACAAACTAGAGAAGACCACTTCGAACTCGGCCACGGACATGTTAAGTTGCTTAAGGTCTTGGAACTCCTGCCTCAACCTCTCCCTAGCCGTGGGAGATAGGTACTTGTCTTGGAAGGCCACCACAAATGCCTTCCATGTCGGTTCTATTCGTTCTTTGGCGTACTTCCACCATTGGCCCGCGTCCCCCTTGAGGTAGTCACTCGCAAGAGTCACTCTGAGCTCACTATCCTCAATGTGAAACATGTCAAAAGTCTTCACAGTTTGTTCAAGCCATTCATCCGCTTTCTTTGGCTTGGGGCCACCATGGAATTCATCCGGTTTGGCCCGCAAAAACTCCCTCGTAAGGAAGCTCGCCCTTGTCTCCACGACGTTCTCCTTAGCTTGGGCTCTGCCCTAAGTATGTTCATGGACTCCTTCAATGCCCCCACCATTTCTCGAGCTAGGGCTCCCATTGCGGCTTGACCTGCTTGTCCCGATATCTCATCTTGCCCCACTTGCTCGGCCATGTTAGCTTGGCCTAACCCCTCCTCTTGCATCGGAACCTCTTGGACCGGTACCTCATGCACACCCCGGCGACCCTTACCACGCCTTTCACCTCCACCACCACGAGTTCAAACCCTTCCTAACATCCTAATTAAGGAACAAGATAGATAATTTAGCACATAATTCCAAATGTGCTCGCAACTTGCCTCACACGTTAAACTATAACAATCATATATATTCTATCGCACAAATAATTTAAGTCACTCCACATAAGCACTTAGTTACGTAAACACATATGAATTATCCTTAGTGATGAGATTCGTCCCATGAAAAATCAAGAATTCTTAGTAGAATGAGTATTGATTAAATACCCTTCAAATAAGATCTCAAGGAACTAATAGGCGCAAATAATATCCCAAAAGTCCAATCTCATACCCATATAGTCACATAAGCATGCTATCACATAATCACGTAAAGCAAAACATTTTCTAATCATGCGAAATGAACCCATTGTGGTAAAACAACCACTTCCCGCGAGCCCCAAGTATTTGAACCTGGTAGCTCTGATACCAAGTTGTAACGCCCCGAAAATAATCCCAACATGTATAATACATCAAACCACATTCATTAATTAAATGGTAATAATCCTTCCATCTTTACGTGGCTAATAAATGAGTTTATACAAAAGTTAATTTCACATGCGAATTATACATTCATTGGTAAGAAAATGCATGAATCTATAGCATGTGAAGCATATAGTTCTCAAAATAAATAAATGCCCTTATGGGCTACAACTTCCAAGGCTTAAGCTCGGTTACACAAAAGTGGCCTCTCGGACCTATACAAAAATAGCCCTTGGCTAGCAATTAATCCACAACAAAATAGAGCTATATATTCTTCACAAATCATCCACGCCCTTAACTTGGCGGGATCAACACGTCATTTCCTGCACCAAAATCCCATAGGGGTGAGCACAAAGCCCAGTGGAGAATTCTTACAAAGTATATACAGTTATGCATATTCTCAATGTAAAAATGCAAATGTCAATGCCATGCAATGTCCTTTTAAGGAAAATTTCATTTCATGTTCTTCTTGATAATCATCATGTTTCAATAAAAATTTGCAATCTCAACAATTTCCAAAACTTCCAATTTTAATCAATAGGGACGATAAATATGACACAGGTAATCCCTAGGTTGGTGTCTGCAAGTAGGCTCTACGAGCACTACCAATAGCCCCACTTTATCGGTTGCTAACCGGAAGGGAAGTGGTACTTCCTCCGCGCATGTTTTCGGTCTTTCATCCCGGACACTCAGGTCAACTTATCAATCTCATCTACACCCCCTATCCGAACTTACCAACGTATTTACCCCATAACACATTTCCAAAATTCTTATTGCAATATAAACTTTTCTCGAAGTAAAGTTTCCGATCTCAATTCACAATGCATAATAATTAATTAAATGAGTGTGTAATGCAACAATTAACCATGCCACATAGCATTTCTCCATTTTCAAGTATCTCAAACAATAACATCATAATAATCACCTTTCCCATTTCCTCTCTTCAATATTATTTCACAAGGATAACCACATGTCTAACTAGATTATCAACAAATAACAATATTTCCATCTTGTATAACTCTCTTAATTTAATCATTTCATAACTACATTTCATTGTGGGTAATGACCTTCTAAAAATTACCCAATTACCATGTTCCCAAAGAATTTATCCTATTGTCAAGTAAAAACAAGAAACTTTTCTAATCATTCATATATTTTAGCATGATGATGTAAAAATATCCACACATTCCCAACATTTTTCACAAAACCTCAAATTTCTAGGTTTTTGCTCCAAAACCAACATTTGTTCATTTCTCACAAGAAATCTTTTCCTAGGGTTCTCATTCCCATAATATAGTCAAGTTTTTCTAGTATGGCAAGAGATATTAGAGGTAAACCCATTTTTGTAAAAGGATGAATCTTACATTGTTGAGCCAAAAGTTTATTTTCATAAAATCAACAAACCAAAACCCAAAACCCTTATCAATACTTGCAAAACATATATATATAACTCAAGAAGTCCCTACCTCAAGGTTTCATGAAGAAATGGAGATGAAACCCTCGCTTTGATGGTGTTGAAAGGAGATCTCCACCGAACACAACGTAGTTCTAGAGGTATTTTTCCACTTTGGTGAAGGATCTTGGATCAAAATGTGTTTGGGTGTAAAGAAATCAAAGATCTTGTGGGGTTTTTGGTGAGAAATGTAGAGAGAAGTAAGAGAGATGTATTTTTAGAGAGAGAGAGGTATATCAAAAGTGATATACACAGCCAAAAAGAGGGGAAATAAACAGAGCATCGGATCTGGGTCTTTCCCATACGTATGGAGCCCACTCCCGCACGTGCGGCGAGTGCCTCCCACACGTGTGGCTCTCCCTCCCGCACGTGCAACACATCCCCGCACCTCCCTCACGCATGTGCATTTATTTCAGTATGCACTGCCCGGCCTCCTCTACTCCCCACACGTGCGGCCCTGGCCCAGCAGTCCAGAATTTTAGATTCAAGCCCCGGGCACTCTGGATTCAACCGTGCACCCTTTGGAACAAGTGAAATTCAACCCGAACGAAAACAAGAACAAGAACTTTATTTTGAGAACTACTTCCGGATGTTTCAAACCTAATGAGAGCAAAAGGGGAACGGAGAGAAGAAAAGAAAAGAAAGAAAAAAAAAAGACTCGATCGTCACATTTATTCAATATAATTAAGATATTTTCTCTTTCTTGTGGATTCAAAGTTCTTTTTTTTTTTTTTTAGTGGATTCGAAAACCCTTTTCGTCTATTAGAACGATATCTAGTTCTCTGTGTGTTCTGTTGTGTCAATTTGATAAAAAAAATATGTTGTGGAGTGGAGATGTTGAATATTGTTGGTGGAATCAGCCCAGTGAAATAGTTTTCAAATAAATAAATTTGTTTCAACTTCTTAAGATGTCCCAACTAATTAGGAATTTTTCCATAAACATGGTTTCAATCTAAAGCAAACCGTTCTAAGTCTGACAAATTACCAAAAGAAGGTGGTAGGGTACCTGCAAATTGTTACCTTCGAGGAAAAGAATACAAAGGAAAGGAAAGGTAAGGTGATCAGCTCAACTGATATTCGACTAACAAGTCTATTGGCTATAAGAGACATGACTTGAAGCTTTTGACATTGTTGTATGTAGGGCTGCAAATGAATCGAGCTGTTTATGAACAAACTCGACTCATTTAAACGGACCGAGCTTGAGCTCGAATATTAGACTCGTTTACTAAACGAGCCGAGCTCGAGTTCGAATAAGCTCGGCTTATCATAACCACTACATTTAAACAAATTAATAGCTCATCCATTCACAAAAAAATCATAATAAACGATAACAAGAACTAAGATGCGAAGGGAAAAACATTCAACATCCAGCAATATTATTCACAAAAGCACTGAATAAGAGAGGCAAAAGGGAAGGGGGGGAATTAGCCTCGCCGTGTCCCATGCCGTGTCCCTATATGGACACCTGTGTCCCCGCCGTGTCCCTTACAAAAAAATCATTAAATTACAGATGGCGTGTCCCATACATGTCCCCAGCATGTCCCCGTGTCAAACACTGTTGCGACACTAATTTTGGAGTGCCCATGCTTCATAGCTTCTTACCTATTATTAGCCCATGTGATCATAATTCAAAACAACATTTTCATTGATTTAAGTTTAAATATTTCATATTTATAAGACATATTTAATATCTAATTGTATAGATAATTTGTTTAAGTAATTTAGAAAAGGTGACTGAATCTTTACGATTCATGATTCGATTCACAATTCGAATTTATATTTGACAATTACTTTTATTATTATTATTAATTATTTTTTGGGTTGTGTGTCAAATTCTAAAAGTATTTTTTTTTTTTGAAGGTCCTAACCCAACAAAATTAGACTTTGGCTTTAATAAATCCCAATCTAACAAGTGGGATTACCCATAAGATAGGATTTAAATGTATAAAAAAATGTAACAATAATAGGCAACTTGAAAAAATTTAAATGTCAATTAACGCTTTGAAATCTCTTTTGGTGAGAATTGTCAGGATTTCAGAGCAAATTGTATTTTTGTAGAAGAAAGAAGACCCATAATTCGTTCCCCTCGAGGGAAAATCCTATGATGCTGTAGGGTGGAATGGTTTAAATGCTTGGAAAGGAATCAAAAATATATAACAAAAATTGTCATAAACTCACAGAAGTCAATCTGCTGTTTGCAACAGTCATTGCTAGTAATCATTTTCGTCTGGGTGGGAGATAGACATAGCTTTCTTCTTCTTTTGTGACTTACTTGAAGTGAATAAGTCAAAAATACGAGAAAGATCTTACAAGTCCATGCTGCTTCACTAGTTCTCCCAGAATAAAATGAATTTCCTCAACAAGTCAAGAGAATTAAGGTGTTGGGTTACCTTGAAACCTGCAATTGTGTTCAGAGCTGTTAAATAACAATTATGAAAAAAAAAAAAAAAAAAGAAGAAGAAGACAAATAGAGAGAAATCATGAAGAACAAAAACTGTGTTGACATTATTTTCTTAAAAAAACATGTGATTTTGATCTGAAACCGTGTTCAAGTTTTTAGGGTTCAAGTTTGTCCCTTTGCAAAGGTACCAAGGGTTGGAACCTGCACTACTAAAAAAAGTACTTTTTGCGACCGTTATAAACCGTCGCAAATAATAAAAATACAGTCGCAAAAGACTTTTTGC